AAGGTATTCAAATCGTTACTGTCGACTCTCGTGTGATGCTTGTGTCTGTTAACTTGCAAATGGAAAGAAAGGTAGGTGTTCTTTTAAATTGTATTTTCTAACAAGTGACAAATGGGTCTTTTTTTATTTCAAATGGCGTATTGCTTCAGATGGGTGGACAGACGATATCACTGTTCTGATAGAAGGCTTCACCAATGAGGTATTCACATCTCTATCAAATCGTCATCGTAGAGCGCTACAGGGCATCATATAAGTGAAATTGGACCATTGGGAATGGGTGATTAAAGGCAAAGAAGTGAATAAGGCACCGCGTATGCCCTAATTCGAGTGTAAGATAGTTGAAGATGATGGTCTTGATTGCACACCTTGAATTTTAGTGATTTACGCCTCTGTGTTAATAGGGTACTTGTGTCTATTGACTCCTGACGTCCTCTCTGTGGGTAGATGATAGATCATCCATCTTGGCATAACTTACTACGAATTTGGCAGAGAACTGCACTGCGTATTACAATCGAATTTGGATCTAGAAAGTGGAAATTGGCATCTTCATTTGATCCAAACGCCCGCCGCCTTGGAGCTCTGTAATGTGGACTTGCCCAAGCAACTTACTGAGGGATATATGGAGTGTTTGAATGATGCCTCACTTTTGTCATGATGCATCTCCAATACTTCAATTCCTTGTTGATAGATGATTGAGAAAAAGGGATATACAAGGAAGAAGTTTTGTGGTATCTTCTTAAAGACAATCGCTTCTGAATAAATAGGCAAAACTGAGCGCGGTCTATGATCTGTTGGGATTAAACGACGTGAATACACTGGCGCGACTTAAAAGAATGTCCAGACTAAAAATAAACAAGAAAACCAAGGAAACAGGTGAATGGAGCAACTGCAGCCCCTCCAAAAGTGTGGTGACTTGCGACCTCGAGTGGAAGAATGCACAATGAGTTTGCATTTGAAGGCAGGAACGAGGCATGTAACAGGTTGATAGTGCATCATAGTTTGTATTCTATTCTTAATTGCAGCGTAGTAAATAGATGGCCAGCTTAGCGAAGTCTGTTAAATCAGAATAAACCGTGATTAAACAGCTGTTCCAATTATATACATGGCTTGACGCTTCTGATTAAATAAACACAGAATGGGTGATTAATGTGGAATGGCGTTGCACAACGTGTGATCACTCCATAAAGGTCACTGCTACTACTTTCGTAGACTGTGCATTCGTATGCTGTCGTGGTGGTGCTGCGTGCGTTCACGGCCTACGCACTCAACACTCAGTGTTGTTCCTCTTCGTCACCAATGCTGATAGTCGAGGTTCTGACTTATCTCGCAACAGGGCACAACTCCAGTGGGAGATGGGCAACCTAAAATGGGAGGAAATCGCAAAAGTGGGCATTGCACGTTGCATAGTCGAACTAGGCATTTGATGAGCGTGGATTAAAGTCATCGCTCCGTCGGTCTTCATGCTAATGACACACAGTCTTGTTCTTCTCTATCGCCCACGCTAAGTGTTCTGAAAACTTTTATGTCATCGAAATGAAGGTAAACTACGGCGGGTTCACACGTATGGGGAGAGAATTAACTTTTAGTTGTATACATCGCTCCCATCACGCCACCGTCACTTACACCATAAGTTACCAATTTTATGATGGACGTGGTAGCTGTCAGTCCACTGTATTCTAAAAAAAGTGCTTCGCTTAGCCCGCAAAATAACCAACTACGCAATAATATTTTCCAGCCAATCGATAGGATGTGTGCATCTTTCTCCCACCCAATCAGAATACGCGTGTTTAAAATAGCCTTGTGATTGGACACACAAATTGTGCACAAAGAAGAGACCGAATATTTCCCTTTCACGTTACTGATTTAGCACAAGTGAAGCTGAAAATGACATTTCTAAATTTTGAAGATGAGGAGGAGTTGGAGGGTGAGGATGGAGCCTTCAAGGACACTATTATTGAATCGTCCCCACTTCGTCCGAAGCCTAATAAACCCACCGCCAACAGTCATCAAGGGAGAGCGCCGACGTTAACCATTGAAGTTGTCCGAGCTTGCCGACCTTTGAAGGTTGGTTTGCAATTCACTTAATTAGCTAGGAAACAAATAATGACTTTCACTCCATATAATTTAAAGCCCATCATACGCATCCGTTTACAGTGTCACAACATATTCCCCTATTTTATTTCACTTATCTTGATTTTCCAAAAACCACCTTAAAAGGCGCCACTTAAACATCCAATGTGGAGGTTGGAAAGTGAAAAATGGAAAAGCATCATTTGTTTTGCATCATTTTAACCAATCAGAATGAAGTCTACAAAGCACCTCTTGTAAGCTGATGAGATAAAGCTAAATTTAGCCTCCACTCCATACCAAAAAATGTCACCATTCGGCAGTGAGAGTTAGAACATCTCGAGGTCAAGCTGACTTTACACTTTCGATCAATCTCCATATCATTGGCAATGATCTAAGAAGTGTATGTAAGGGCAAACATTTATGCTCAATTCTCACACGCGCATCCATAGCATAAAAATTATGCAACCTTCGGAGAAAATATTGCGCTTGTTAATCAGAAAACTCAAATTGATTTAAGGACTCTTCACGACTCGATAAAATAATTATAAAAAAGGTTTTCGTGATGACACAAATGTACACATTGTAGTAGTCCATCAACGCCTGACTCACTCGCTCTTCCACGTGGCAGAGCAAGTACTCTCAAAGTCCCCTCTCTGCTCTCACCTCCTTCACCTCCCACCCTCTCTCCCTCCCTCCCTCCCTCCCTCCCTCCC